TGGATTTCTGCATCCCTGTGACCCCCCATGGGCTGCAGGGGCACAGCTGCCTCACCATGGGCTGCCCCGTGGGCTGCAGGGGAGTCAGCACTGGTGCCTGGAGCAGCTCCTCTCCCTCCTTCTTCACTGACCTGGCCTCTGCAGGGCTCTTTCTCACACATATTCTCCACTCTGGCTGCAAGCTGCTCCTGTGCAGTACCTTTTCCCCTTCATAGCCATGTCACCCGAGTCACTACCTCCATCACGGATAGACTCACCAGTGTTAGGTCCATCTTGGAGCCAGCTGGCATTGGCTCTGTAGGACACCAGGAAGCTTCTGGCATCTTCTCGCAGACAAAACCCCTGGAGCCCCCCCACTGCCAAAGCCTTGCCACAGAAACCCAATGCAATGATACATACCCCCACTAACAGGGCAGCTGTACACATTTAGGACAGTTTGCTTTCTTTTACTTGTTAAGTGCAAACAGAACTGGCTCCACAGAAGTTTTTTTGCAACGCAGACTGACTTTTATGTTTCACGACTGCAAACACAACACACCCAAATGCTTAGCATATTTTTTCCTTTTTTCCCCCCTCGACTATCTTTGGCTGAGGTCAGGCATTATAATTTCAGTGAGCACATTCCACTTCTAAACACCTAACAGTTACATTTTCTGTCCGGTCAACACTTGGCTTCAGGAACAGACAAAGCAACAGCTAAGTCTTTAGGAAGCTGCTTTAAAAGACTATTACAGATGCCTAAGCAACACAAAGCAGCATTTTTGAAATCCAACAAACAAAAAAAATACTTGGACATGGCTCAAGGAATACTTGATGAGAAACAGGACAGAATGTGTACTAGAGAATAATGGCTGTGCTTAAACTACCTAGTCATTTGCCTCAACATTCATGCCTCAGTTTCCCTATCTCAAAAGCCAGGATAACCTATCCTTGACAAGGCAGACCAAGACACTTACAAAGACTGCTATTTAACTATTACCCACCATGAGAAAAGCCTAGATACTGATCCCCAGTAACAGTCTCTCTAAATTAATCTTTGCATGTGAGCCTGCACCAATATTAGTAAAAAATTTCCATAAAGTCCTGAAATAATTACTCCTAGACTATGGCAATTGGTTGGTTGATTGATTGTAGGGTTTTTTTTCCCCTGCAGAACTTGGATGATCAGCAGCCTAACTTAAAAAAAAAGAACAAACCACCACAACTAAACAAAACAACTTACAATGCTTTTTTTCTTATCAACCAATTCAAAAGGTAACAATAACTATTTCAGCCACCCTAGAATCACTGTTTCACTTATTTCAAGTGCTTGAGCTCAGACTACTTTGCTGTAATTACGGCTGTCTGCCTCACAACTCTCTGCCTGGTTACCACAAACATCCTTTTAAGTCTTCTCTAAGGAAAAGGGAGAACAGCAGCCTTCCACCACTGCCAGCAAGAGAGTAGCTGCAGTACTAACAGGAATTCAATACCCTGCTGGCAATGTTACCAACAGTACATACACTGGTACCAAGTTTTAAATAAAATGGCACTGCATTGTGGTGGAGATGCTTATACCCAGATTCAGTTAAAACATAATTTCTAGTGGATGAAACAGTAATTTCATCCAAAGCAGTTTCCAGATCTAGTTCACCACACAAGCACATAAACCCTTCTCCCAGCAAATGAGGCACAGGCACTGACCTTACCACCCCCTGGCGGTAATGACAATGCCAGATAAAAGAATCAACTGTTTTGTCTTTGCACAAGACCTCTGTTCTACATGATCATTTGTCACATACTGGGCAAATAAATAAGAGGTGACAACACCAGCACTACCTCTGCTTATGCAGCCCTGTCACAATCAGCAATTCCTCAACAAACATAGCACACACTGAAACAGAAAAACACAAGAGACCAATTTCAGTCAAACACTTGGTTACGCTATTTGAGTGTTCCTGGGAAACACATTTGGACCAGAAATAACCTACTTCATTTTATCATCATTAGTTTCAGTACTTCCCACAGGAAGGAGCTCAAACCCTTGTGAAAACTGACTCCTGCACTTAGCTCCCCCTCTTGTCCAACACTCCAGTGTGCCACCACTCTAAAGCTACCACAGAGGCTCAGGATCAGCAAGGACAGAGGCTCCCTAGCAGCAGTGGTTAGTGTCACACCAGGACATCCCCCACAAAGCCTTTCCACAGGAACCAGAGTAGCAGGCAAGGCAGTGAACTATTACCCTCACAGCAATGCAGCTAAAAAGACAGGCTACGGAATTTCAATCCTGCCTGCAAACTTGGAGGGCACTGCAGTGTTACAGCCAATATTTATTAGGGTTGCTCTGTAACTGCGTAGCTCTCATGCCATCTTTTGCTACAGACTGAAACAAGTGTTTGCTCCAGCAAGTCAGTTCACACATACAAACCAGTGGACTCCCAAAAGGAAAAACAAAATTTTTTAAGATGATTCTTATAAATCTGACAGACCCATCAGCATTCCTCAGTGCTGTCTGGATCGAGGCACCTGCTCTTCACTCCAACACTGACTCTTCATCCAAGACAGCCTCTTGCCTTTACCAGCAGAACCTAGAGCAGGGCAGTAACACGGCCCATGGGACCAGATACACCTCTTCTCTAGCAGCAGTCCACAGAATGGAGTCAGGGAGAAGTTCCAAAATAAAAAGGACACCACTACATTTTTAATAGTTTATTAACACTTCAACCTTTAATAACTTTGAAGAAGGCCTGAAAGATAAGTTTTGCTTATTGACTTTGTCTTTTCCCCTTTGGCAAAATGTCACCTTTCAACTCCTCCCTCCACCCTCCCTCCTCCCAGGAGGATAATGAAGTTCCAAGCTAATGTTTGGTTGCTTCTTTTAAGTAAGTTGGCTTCAAACATAGCAGCAGAAACATGCAAGCCTGGGCAATAGTGTCTGTCAACAGCTTTTAGAGAATGAGTAGAAACACACAAATAACTTGTGCATTGATACAAATAAATTTTGCTTAAATGAACTTTATATATATATTTTTTAAGTGGGTTAAATTTGGTGCCCAGAATTACTACAGAAGCTGTATCTTCTAGTTAGCTATGTTTATTTTTTTCCCCTGAATCATACTACTCTTTTTTAAAGTGCTATATTCATAAAAAAAATTAAATAACTACTTTGATATTGTATACTTGTATCATCTTGCCCTTTTGAGAAATCAGAAGAGCAACCTGCAATGTGTATTTAACTGAAATTAGGCATCTACCCTGACACGACTTTATGGGCATCACCGTCTGCTCATCTCACCAGGAGCAGGTGGAGAGACTGTATTTCCCTGTGCTTACATACACGAGTAAGCAGGCAGACAAAGCAAGAAGTTCTACCCATTTCAGGAACAAAGACAAACAATTTAATCCATATTACATAATTCACTGAATACAGCTGATCTCATCCAAAGTGACTCCTGAGAGCAAAATAGTTTTAGCATTACATTTTATATACAGCTATGAAGGGATTACGGGAAACCAAGACAGTCTCCTTAGAGCATTACTGAGAACTCGGGTTACAAGAGTGCTGTACACTTGAAAACATCACTTAAACCACGACCAAAGTTTTACCATCAACTTTTTTCTTATTTATGAAAAAAAGTTATTTCATTCCATTACTTTTACCACATTTCTGCTGCCAGATATCAAAACCTGAGTCAGCTGCATTGAGAATGACTTTTTTTCTGGTTTAAAGTCCTCTAAGTGCTAGCACCTTTGAAAACCTCTGCACACCACGCTGTAAACATTTTTAAGATCTTCCAGAGGGTTTTGTGTGGTTTTTCTCCCTTCAACGCAGGAATGACTGCTCTATCTGAAGCAAACTACATCCTGCACAATATTGCTTTCGTTATTTTCCACGTAATCAGTTTGGAACAGGCTATGAAAGTTTGATGTGGAAATGTTCTGTTAGAGAAAAAAAATCAGAAGAAATACACCATTCTGAACCAGCGGAACCAAAATAATCAAAAACTTAACACAGTTTTTTCCAGTCACTGGGATGGAAGGAGACTTGAATGCAGACACTGGAACGTGTAACTGGAAACATCAGTGCTTGCATGCTTAAGTGAAAAGATAAGCAGTATTCACATTTTCTCCATCATCTTCCTTGTACGTGTGCAAAATTTTATAAAAAAAGTTTATCACAGAGAGCTATGACGGAACATGATGGAATTAAAAAAAAAAAAATAGCAGTAGAAATCAAAGGCAACCAAGATAACGTACATCTTTCCCAGAACATTTTTCTCAGCTACATAAGGTGTGCATATACCAAGGTCTAACACACTTAGCTGCACCACATCAAGTCAAGCTGTCCAAGAGCATACACAATTTTGCTTACAGGAGTATATCTCTTCCACATTTTTTCAAGTTTACAAGTAGTTCCCTGTATTGGATTATGCTTACTCAGAAGTACAGATAATATTTTGTTTCAATACTACTGTTTGTTTTCATGACATATTCAGAGATGAGGCAAGACATAAGATTAAGTGCAGGGAAGCATTTCAGACCCCAAAAATGCATTTTTTAAAACTTAGCTATACATGGTTAAAACAGGTAGATCTGCCAAGAGTTGCATAAAATGATTTTTATTTCCCAAAGGTGAGCAACTGAGCCAAAGGTGAGCAACTCAGCAAATATCAACTCTTCTGCATCATGGAATTCACTACGGGCATCTGAATGATTCAACTTGCATTTTTTAGTATCTGCTAAGACAGAATTATAAACTGAGTAAGTTAATACATGTGAATTAAGTACCCTTAAGAAATCAAAGAATAATGCTGACTCCTGGAAGACACCCAGAAGATCCAAAGATGGAACAGAAGGTTGATTATTACACTCCTGCACAATCCAAGCAAATTGTTAATGTATTGAAAACATTCATGTCTGGCATTTGCACCTGCTGGATATCCAAATTATTCTGTCCCAAAACAAGTTTGATAACCATCCTCTTTGTAGCTGAAAGCAGCCAAAAAACAGTTCATTTTTTAAACAAATGGAATGGAAACCTCTTTTTTTTTTCTTTCCCAAGCTTCAATTACAACAGTCAAAGCCAGAGACTTAAGCAAATAAACTTCAAAATAGCCATTTGTTACAAGTAGCAAATTACCATGAACAATGAACTTGTTAAGAATCCCCTCTAAAAGCACGACACACACAAACAGGCTACCCAGCAGAAAAATCTGTTAACAATTTTATTTCTTTTGTCATGTTAAATATTATGGGACAGGACTGTTAAGGATGAAGAACTCTCAACAATGCCTCACAAGGAATAAGAAAGAAATTCTGCCATGATATTAGCAAAGTAAGGTAAGGAGAAAATTTACACAGTAAGAGGCACCATTTCCCCCAGAATACCTCTTGTCATATTCCTGAATGAGTGGGATTAGCAATCTAATAAATCATTTGTCAAGAGGTAACAGCAACAGATAAAATTTTAAAGGATTATTAAAATAACATTTACAAGACTCTGAACAATTTTTGAATTCTTATTAAAACCACAGAAAGAAAGAACAATTCTTTATTTATGAATTTTCATAAAGGACTGACTGTGCAACTGATACCTGCTATTGATGACTGAATGTACAATTTTGTCCAGCAGCTGAACAGTTTGTCTTCTCAGATTGTGTTTTCTAACCGTGCGAGATCATTAAAGGCAAAGCCTGTTATGATGCTGTACACAAGAACGGCCGCTCGGGCCATACTACCCATGATGTGGTAGGTAAACAAACTTTTTTCTGGCCAAGAGAAAACAAAAATAAACAAAAAAAAAACAAAAGGAAAAAAAAAAAAGGAAGCTGCAGTTTTGCATGCTTCTCTGACTCATTCTTTCTACAAGATGAACTTCCCTAGAAAGAATCCAATGAAAATGGCTGCAATTACAACAAGAAGTGAAGGAAGAGAATTAGAGCCATTATCTCTGAGGGCCAAAGCTGTGGGTGATCCAGATTTATCCGAGTGTGCTACCTTTCTGAGCCTCAAGCCTTCATCCTGAGGGGAAGAAAAAACACAGATGGAAAAAAACCATAAATGCATCACTAGGATAGTAAAAGCTGAACCCAAAAGGCCATATTTACTGGCAAGTATTTAAATAAAGTTTTAAAAAAACCCTCAACATATACAACATTACATCACAGCAAATCCAAAACATGAACATAGAAAACCGTATTTTAAATAAGAACCATAATTCACTAGCCTCTCTGCTTAAAAAAAAGTACCAAAAATCTTGCTAGGCCCAATGAAGCATTCTGCTCTTACTTAGTATGTGTCAAAATTAAATAGCAGTAATTCCTTATTGCTAAGGAGAAACATCTGCTTTGTTTAGTGCCAATGTCATCAGAATAACAGGTGTGGAGATATCATACTATTTCATGGTTCTTTAAAAGGCTATCACGGCCAATGAAATTGTCAGAACTGTTCCAAAAGCAAATATATAGAAAAGATACAAAGTCATGTATCGACAAGTTACCGGTCACTGAAGTGACACCTTTACATAAAGGTACAAGAAAGCAGTATTTGCTTACCTCCTCTGGCCAAACAATTGCTCTTGTTCACTAGCTGTTTGTAATACAAAATGTGACTGCTCTAGATCTCACTCATTATTAATGAAAAATAAAGCACTTTTACAAAGCTACCAATTCAATAGCTTTGACTTGGACTTAAAATAACTAAGATCACCTTAAATAGGACCACTACGTTTGAGAAGAACATTATGCAGCTTCAGTGTCTCCTCCATGACAATGACAAAGTCTCAATCACAGACAAGTTCAAAATATACATTATATACAGGACAGTAAACTCGTATCATGAATCAATCTTGACATTCTAACAGCTTTATCTACTTGCTGGAATATACCTCTTTTGGCCTAATTATAAACCAGACCTTTCAATCTAGAAGAGTGAAGCCACTTCAGTATAAACATGGATGCAGAACTTACTCTCAGGTGCCGATTTTCCTCTGTCAGCTTCATAATCTCTGCCTGAAGTCTTTTGCACTCCTCCACGAGCTTCCTTGTTTCAGTGTCATTAAGTGAAACACTATGTGGTTTTGGCATCGGTCCATCCTGCTTAGATGTGTTCAGTACTGGGGCGGATTTGCTTGCATCTATATCATTCTACAAACATCAAGAATGATTTGAGAATTTACTTACCTAGAGAAAAATCATCCACAGCTTGACAGTGAAATAATGAAGCTACAAATATTGTTCAATGAGATTTATATTTACAGTAAGCTGAACAGACACACTGACAGTTCAATTCTGATTAGCTCAAGTATTAAAAAAGCAAGAGGAGATTGCACTGTTTATCTGGTACTACATTCTACTGAGACACAAATTAATACTTTAGCTGCTTAACACTGACCCAGGAGGCATCCAAAAGAGGGCATAAAATACACCAAAGAGCATTTGAATTTGGCAGGGGGGGTGTGAAATAAAAACAAGAAAGTAATCCTGCAATAGTAAGAAACAAAATAAAGTCAGGTCAGAACAGGTCATGTCACCAACTCCTATGAACAAATGTTTTGCGCTTATAATACCTTTTAGTGAAGAAAAATAAAGTGCTGCACAAACATGAAAATTAAGTCTGACAGCATCTGAAATACACATTACTAATTCTGAGGAGTCACAAAAAAGTCTGAAAAGAACAATATTAAAATTAACAATCTAATTCCCACAGCTCTGCTCAAAATCACACAATCATAGAATAGTTTGGGTGGGAAGGAACCTCAAAGAAGATTTAGTTCCAACCTCCTCCCCCCAACTAGAGGCAGGGACAATTTTCACCAGATCAGATTGCTCAAAGTCTGATCCCACACAGCCTTGAACACCTTCAGGGATGGGACATCCACAATTTCTCTGGATAACCGGGCCCAGTGCCTCACTACCTCCTGAGCAAAGAACTTCCTCCAAACATCTAAGCCAAATCTTTCCTCCTCTAGTTGAAAATTATTCCCCCTTGTGCTATCAGTATCTGCCTGCAGTAAAAGTTGCTGCAATGAGGAGCAATGCTGCATAGAGCCTTCTCTAGGCTGAACAACCCCAGTTCTCTCTGCCTGTCTTCATAGAAGAGGTGCTCTAGGCCTCTGAGCATCTTCATGGCCCCTCTCTGGACTTGCTCCAGCAGCTCCACACGCTTCTTATGCTGGGGAACGCAGAGCTGGACTCGGGACTTCAGAGGGGGTCTCACAAGGGCAGAGTAGAAGGAGGGAGAATTTCTTCCCTTGATCTACTGGCCGTTTTTCTTGTGGTGCAGTCCCAGATGCAATTAGCTTTATGGACTGTGAGCACACACTTAGTAGTCTCATGTCCAGCTTTTCAACCATGAGAAGCCCCAAGATCTGGCAAGCCTGACTGCCAGTGAAGATTGAGGTAAGAAAGTCACTGAGTACCTCAGCCTTCTCCATATTTGTTGTTACCAGTTCTCCTTTCTTGTTTATCAGGGGGGTTCACTCTCCTTGTCCTTTCTTTTCTAACAAACTCCATATTTACAGAGTCCCCTCTTGTTACTCTTCACATCCCCTGTCACATCCCATTTCATCTGTGCCTTAGTTTCCGTGATCCCATTCCTACACACCCCCAAACCATATCCCTGTACTTCCCAAGTCACAAGTCCAGCTTCCACTGGCTGTGCATTGCCTTCTTACTCAATGCAAGGAGCAGATCCTTGCTCAGCCATGCCATTTTCCAACCTGTCTTCCTTGATGTCTTACACATGAGGACGGAGAGCTCTTGCACTCAAAGAAAAATGGCCTTAAGGAGTGGGCGCTAGAAGGGCCTAAAGCCCCTTAAGAGTGGCTGTACAGAGATGACTTTTTAATTAAAGAACAAGCTCCTCTGTCCCCAGGGACAGTTTCTTAGGAGGAAGTACAAAAGGAGGAAGTTTTGTATAACCCATTACATTTCTCTCACTACATTACACACTTTATGAAATTAAAGCTAGAAAGTAGACAACTAAGTGCCTTGATAATAAATGCTAATAAATATAAAATATTTATTACATTATAAAAATTATAATAAATAAAAAAACCTTTACACTTTTACTGTTTAACACACATTTAGGAAGCTTACACCTTCATCTCACAAATTATCCTTTCAAAAAAAGAAAAAACAATAAACCAACCCCAAAAACCCTGACCACAAAGAAATCCCTATATCCCCTTCCCCCCAAGATTAAACTGAGATTTAACTTCAGATTGCATCTGAAAACTATGAAGTTCAAAAATAACAAAAATATAGTTTTTTGGCACTGCTCTCCATTGCTGGAGTTTTCTAAGATGTGGTTGGACAGAGTGCTCCCTTTCAGACTAGATCTTGGACCAGACGGTATTTCAAGGTCCCTTTAAACCTGGGCTGTTCCATGATTCTATGAATCCTTAAAAAGTTATATGCTGAACACCCCTCCTGTCTAATTTAGTACAAATTCCATAGATTAATTTAGTCATTAAATCAAGTAAATTAAAAAAACCCTGAAATTTCTGTGAGATCCTACCACTCAGTGTGTATGACAGTTTCTTATTCCTTACTTACCAGTTTATCGTTTTCGTTGGGCATTTCAAACACACATCTCAATTTGGAGTCCATCAACTCATCAGGTTTCGCTTCTTTCCACTAAGGAAGCAATTAATAGTTATTTAACATGCTGGACTTATGCAAACATCTCAACATTTCATGAGCTTGCTCTTAGCACTGACCTCCCATACAGCTGAATACCATGCTTACCCTCCCTGCAATTTTCAGACTTGCTCATGAACAATGCTTTTTGTTCACACTCACTGCTGTGAAGTAACAAAAGCTAGAGATGGGTATTCAAGACTGGAAATGAAAATGAGTAAACTGAATGCAAGGATGGATCCATCAGAGGTTTGTATAAAACAGGGAGGAGACAATACAGTGGTTTCTTAACACACAATGAGAAACAAGTAGCATCTGAGTCAGTTTGAGAAGAAAGTTCTATCCCTATTATGCCTCGGTAAATGTACTTCTTGTATCCCATCTTGGAAGCACTGATTTTAAATAAAAGATTGAAAGACACCTTTTAGTGATTCTACATGTGTTCTAGAGTAAATTTCTTTAGTTCTTCAAATTTTAGACTCTTACCTGCCTTCTCCTTTTATTGCATATCATGTGACAATTTGGGCCTAGAGAATTTTTCAAAGCTACTTATAAAAAACATTTAAATTTTAATGGTTCTCAGTATATTTAAATAATTAAACTATGCTGGAATCTCTCTACTCAGCTGACAATTAACTTTCAAAGCATGCACTTCATGTAGTTGTGTTAAATTCATAGGCTCAGAGACTGGGCTGAAGTCTGCAGCAACTTTTCTAAAAGGTCCTCCTGTTACCTTATAGGTGTTACAGATTCAAATATTCAGGTTTTTCATAACATTTTTTTTTTTTCTTTCCAGCAGTATTAGTTATACAGTAACTTTTAACTACAAATAGCAATTTTCTGCAAGATCTGTTTCTCAGTACTGTATACCTGAACTCACTAAGAAAGCAGTTATTTAAAAGGTATTTCTGAAGTAGGTTTTCATATCCTCACCAAAAAGGCATGCTTCATTTACCAAAAATAACCAAGAGCTCCTAAAGCATATGAAGAAAAACAAACCAGTTCAAAAAGGCAGACAGATGTTAACACTCATGTCTCCAAAGCTTCACAAAATCTAGAAGGCTTTCCACTGCTTCCAATGAAGACTGATGTCATGGTAGTCTTTGCCTTCATATAAGGGGACAGAGCCCAAAAGGTCTCTTGGATTTCGGCAATTTATAAAATCTCATCTTGATCCTTTGTTCTCCCTCTCCTTCTCTGCCTTGAGTGAACATCAAATGTACCTGTGTGAACCCAGGCATTACTTAAAATACTTTGCAGAGTCAGAAGCATGTGCAACGCTGACCTCTGCCTTAGGACATACTTACACGAGTCCACATACACCCTAAAAGGCATGTTCTGACAACTGAGGGCTTCGTTCCCATTGCTGCCAGCCAGTAAAATCAGAAACAGTCACTTTACTTCTGAATGAACAAGCACAAACCTACGTATCTTCTTTATGGGTGGGTCTTGCATCAGACCAACCCAGCCTAAGAACTAAAGCTACAATATGGTCTATTGAAACAGAAAATAAATATATCAATCATTTGTGCTGTGTTTAGCCAGCACTTGGTATCTTGTAGGGAGACACATCTTAGTCTTGAAAATGTTTTAATTCATTATAATCCCATTCAACATTTCACTTAAACACTTTTCGTACCACATGAACCCATTTACATACAGCTTCAGGCTTGTTGTTTGAATATACTCTTGATTCCTTCAAATTCAACCTGTTTATCCCTTTTAAATTAGCTGCATATAAAGATATAATATGCCCATATTTTAACACTGAACTGACCTTAGACTCTCTCCTATTTCCATTCAGTAACCTCTATGTTAATCACTACAGGCAAGTTCTTAGAACTGACCTTGTATTTCATATTAAAAACTCTGAATCACATTTGAAGTCACACTTGTTCACAGATAACCAAATTTTTCTTCAAAATGAATTGCAAAAACGTGACTAATTTATAGTTAAGCCAAATTTTTTAAGGAAAAGAAAGACATCATCCATTTTACTCCAATTTTACTTACCACTGCCTCCATATCTGTAATATTTGGTGGTGCATAGGTTGTTTGTACCATAAACTTGTGTTTACTCTTCTCATTTGGGTCATAGTCAAAAGGCTGCAGCATTACTGTTCCAAAGGAAAAAACAAAACTGTGATTCTTCAGCTAATCACTACAGCAAGCATGTACATACAGCAACCTCTTTAGACTTCAGTCCTCATTGAACAGACATGGAAAGTTAAAATGCAAAGGCAGTGCATACACTGTAGAAAAAGGGACTGAGAGGTCCGAGTCTGGTGTGGCTGACATGATTATTTCTGTAATTACTATAGGAAAAGACATTTCAATATACAAATATGAACAAACATCCTGTAAAAGAGACCCAAAAAATGTACATCTAAATATGTGTATGTGGGAGTAGACTTGCAACTTGATCTACCAGAGGATGAGGATGCAGTGAACTGGAGAGATAAATTATTTCGCAGTGTATATACACCTGTCTTCCAGAGAATGGGAATTTAAGTTCAGTATATCTTTATACAAAATTAAGAGAAGTAGAGGCAGTTTCAGAAAATTATAAGAAAAAAATACATGGAGTCCTATAACAGTTATCTATGTATGTACCTATTTAATGTAAATGAGAAACCTATGGCAGAGATACTGATATAGCTAGAAAAATGCAAAAGCAGAGAGAAAAACATTAACAAGTAACAGTAACAAGCTGTGAAAGAACAAGAGTAACATGGTATATTATAAAAAAACCCAAGAACAAGCAATTGCTGTTAACAAGTCAACAGCAAACAATACATGACAGATTAATAAGTAGTAAATTTAGGGTATCAATGCAAAGAAAAACAGCTCTTAGGGAATTTGTATTTTTGGAAAAAAATTTTAAAAAACGTGGCTGAAGGTTACTTAGTGATTCACAGTTGAAAAGTAATAAATGATTAAAAAATGTCAGTGGACTTCCTTAAAATGACTGTCAAATCACATTTCCAACAATGAATTTTTAAACGGGCTTGGCTCTGAATCAGCACGATGCATTAAACAGGCTGAAGACAGCTAGCACTACCACAACATTCAGTTTTGAACATAAGAGCACACAGTATCCTATAGTTATTTCTCTCTGCACAACAATATGAGAGAAATCTATTTTTAATTATATGAAAGATGACTCAGCACTGAAAACATTCAGTTGAGAGACTGATGAGATAAAGTGGGTCACTAGAAAAATAATCTGTGCGCTTATCTTAGCAAATGACCCAAAATAAATGATATGCCTAAAAACAAAAATATGAAGCTGACACTGTGGGGAAGAGAACTTAGTTCTGAAAAGCACAGTGGAATCACTGTAACTAAACAATGGCACTTGAAAACATCTTGAGGTCACTGTAGCTGAATAACTGCATGAGAATCCAGTAATACAGAAATAGGCACATCAAAGACTTCCTGCCATGCCAAGTGAAGACTCAAGCAGTGTGACATGTTTCCCTTTACTGGAGATCCTGAAGCCACAATACTGTTTACATCTCCAGTACTGACTCATTTAAAAAACCAAAATATTTAAAGCTTTAAAAAGATGATTTATAACTATGAAAACACACAGGATGTAATCCCTCAATCTACTCAATTCCCTGAAGAGAAATGCCAGTGAGATTTTGATTGTGATATTGAACTAGCCAGTGGAAAAGTCCCAGATACCAGGTCAAACACACAGCTAAGGCAAAATGGCTATAAATTGGAGTTGAAGATGGAAATAAAGAAGTTTTTGACTATTTGAATGTTAAATCAATTCCCAGTAAAATAATCTTTCATCCCCAAGTCAGTGAATAAGAAACACAAATCCAGATGCTGAACTGCCCATGCTAAGCAATAATGAAGTTTTAAAGGGCCCCATTCTACAGATCAGATTAGAAAACTCCTACAAAAAGTTACTCTAAGGTTTTAATCAACCATAAACTTGTCTTGCATTCTTCTTTGCATCATTGAACATAACACCTGAAGATAGTTTTCCAGTTTCTTTTAACTTCCCAAAGGGTGTAAGAATATGGATCTGAAAAGCTCTGAGGATTGCTCCCTTATTTCCCTTTTGCTTTGCTACAGAGGTCTCCAAGGGCTCTAAAATAATCATTTTTCTAGACCTAGGAGATCTAGGAGCTCACACCGGTAATGCCTATGATATCTACAACCTGAATTCCCCTTATCCTAGAGATTCTACCACAAAATGGTCAGAAGAATGACCTACAAATTCATTTACCAAATCTGCAGACTACTATCTTGTCTTCCCATTTTCTTGAGAACAACAACTACATACAACTGCAAACGAATTTTTTATTAAATGCAATGAACTATGAAATGTTACACTGAAAGCACACCAGAGCAGCCAAGAAATGCTCTACTTCAGGAAACAAAAAAGAATATAGTAGTCTGAGGCAAAGGTACCGTTAATGTCACTGCCCATTTTCAACTTGCTTTTCCTTCTTTTAGAGAGCCACAAATAAATGTGACAAAGGCAAGTATTTCTACATGGAAGATTTTTTTTCATGTATCACTGCAGCTCTACATCAAGTTGCCATCATACTAATGAGGGGATTCCTTTTTATTTAAAAATAAAAAGGTTTTGAAAAGCTGACATACTTCAAACAGTCTTTAGGATCAAGCATTAGGGAACTAGCAACAAAGGCTTTAAAGACATTTAACTACAACTGCATATATTTATTTTTACCTGAAACAATTACAGATGATCCTGGGTCAATAATTCCACTGTTTGGCCTCACGCAGTATCGACGAGGTGCTGTGGTCTTCACTTTGAAGCATACTTTTCTATCTGATGGATTTCGTAGTTTAAGATTTGTAGTTACTACATCTGTAAAGGGACCTGAAAAAAGAATTGGTCTTTTTAAAATACATGTGCATCTCTGGAGAAGAAATCTGTTTATATAGTACAAGTAACTCTTAAAATACATCTTGTTGCCAGTTTGCTGGCAGGTTAAATCATACACCTGTTAGGCACATACCCTGTGTTACATGCAAAGAGTGCTCTGTCACCTTAGTTACAACAATATACATTACAGCAATCAAGAACTCTTAAATATTACAACAGACTCGAGCTGCTGGCACAAGTGGTTCATATGTGTATATGCTATTCCTACCAAATCATTCTTAATATTTGAAATACCTAGAAGGTACTGGTCACATGCAAAAGCAAATTTTGCTGAATTGTTCTTCAGGAATAGAAGTAACACATTCTTTGGAACGCTTTCAATTGTTTAAAGAAAGAAAACACTGAGACTAAAACACAGTCACTGCTCTGGAGATTTCAACTTCTGTTGGCTTCTGACCTCCTATAGAGTTAAAAGAACAATGTATCCATCGCCCCTTTTAAACTCAAAATAAGCAAGAGAGATCATATTCTGTTTATGCATGTACTCTAACTGATCCACAGAAAAGCAATAGTTGCTCTTGTAGTTGAAGTTGCTATATTTATGTACTCAATGCAGTGTACTCTCTAATCTGTATTTATGTTAAACCTTCAGGATAGGAATTCCTTCCAAGTCTGGACAAGAGGCGTAATTCGAATATCAAGCTGGAAAAGCACATCTTCCAACAGGGATCACCTTCATGCAATGCCACACAGGAACATCACAAAAAATAAGGTTCACAGCATTCCGAGCAGTGTAAATCTTCCTTATGTTTGTGTCATCTGAAAGCAAGACTGCAAGGGCTCTAGAAAAACGGTGTTTCATATGAACATTAAATTTATTCAAGAATATTCCATGTGTACATTAACTTTTACGAACCTTCTTTATAGTTCTTTAAAACTACACATTAAATAACTACAAAATAATTTTTATCAGTATTGAAACCACAACAACTTTTCCATTAAAAAACTACAATGAAAGCAAACTTCAGATTAAATTGGATGAAAAACATAAGTGATACGAACAAGTGGCAAGGTACAACAAAACCACCAACTGCATGAGACATAGGAAGTCAATTCAGGGAGGTCTGAACACCTTATTCCATAGAGGAGTCTGCACTTCTCTGAAGGAAAAAGCTCTGCCCGCTATCAAACACCTTACTACACTAGAGGGCTCACTACCTGACTGATGCATTTATTTCTACAGCTCATTCCAAGGACTTGATTTTGAGAGAGCGTTAAACAGTCCTAACACAAAACACCAAGATACAAATACATAAAGACTAAAAAGAGAATCACTGAGAACCAGAATACTGAGATGCGGCTGAAGATACATGTGAACTAGGTTTACATTCAGTGAGGTTCTTTTGACAAAATAGGAACTGGTATTATTTGTCTGAAATTTCACTTCTGATCTGACTTTATATGGTGGATGAAGTAAGTCATCCTCTCAATCCACGCAAATTTGACACAGGCCCCAAGATTTACAAAATTACTTGAAAGTTTTCTGCCACTTATCTTTTTGATGGTTCTTGCATGATCCAGTTGTCTTTACCTATAGAGGAAGGTCCAAAAAAAACCTCCCATCACCCATACCACAAACTGAACTAAAACCAGGCAGCTGAATACTCTTCTCATTCTAAGACTGGTGATACACTCATAACACACCAAACATGTATTTTTTTCAAGCTACACACACATTTTTGAGGAAGTATTCTGGGAGTTTTACTAACAACGACCTAAGCTATTAGTCATCTAATAACTACTGCTTTTGCAGTGCCCAGAGGCAAAAAGCACTTTGAATCTGGCTTTCAAACTTGAGGGTTACTTTTTTTTAATTGCAACTCTAGGCAACATGAGATGGTCTACTTCTCAATCTTCTCAACCACTTTTACTAAGGACATTCTGCACAAAGGAAAAAAAATTCAGAGGCTCATTTTGAAAAGCACAGGCATCAAGAAAAGGAGATATACTATTCAAAACCAGCTTGTTTCAAGACAAAGCAACAGTGAATTTATAAACTGATGATAAACTGCTTCTTAAACTAAAATAAAAGATGTTCTGTTTCTTTTGTGATATGAAAGGTCTCCTCATGCCTGCCTTTTTAAAGTGTGCAATAATGAGATAGGATTCAATATATTCTTTCAATTACTCCACTATTTACTGTCAGTTTCAACACCTCAGATAATTAAAAGAAATCTGCTTTTCTTTCCCAGGTACATGAATGCAGTGACCTCCTTTGCATTTCCTGGATACTTCACAAAAAAAAGCTTTTAGCTCGGGGACATTTTTTAGAATCAGACGTTTCTTTCAGAGGTGACTGAAATCTTTTTCAGGTAGAGGATGCTTATGACAGCTTTACCTTTTACCTGATTTCTAAAAGCTTTAAAGAAAATAGCTGTATAAAGACTCTTAAGATTTGCAACCATCAGATTTAATAAATAGGTGGTAACAAATTGGTGCACAAAAGGAAGAGATGACTGAATTCCACTGTTCCTGCAGATCCCAGCTGTTTGGTAGTTTTGTGGCAAACCAACAGCTTGGATCTGAGAAAGGACAGACAAGAACAGACAGAAGGATAGTAAATCAGAAAAAAAAATCTAGTATCTTTCAGAGGAGCCACATGATACAAGCTAGCATGACATACCCTTCAAAAAAGAAACTGCAACACCTGAAGAAGATTCTAGTGCTCATTATTACGCAAACATAAGGACCACTACCTTTACAGGAGTGGGGAAATAAAGTACAAGCTGGCAGTAACAGCCTAAGTGCAAAAGCCTAAACTACAACCGTTCTTGACGAAAAATGCGGGGCACAGGCAGAAGAACCAGGAAGGAGAAACGTTTGGATTGTACTACCCAGACTGCATGTAAACAAGGAAAAGAACAGGCAAAGAGGGATACAAACATTCTGCTCATGCACCAAAATGGACAAAGGCACACCCACTTCATCTCAGTAAATATTCAGCTACACCAGGGCAGCATTATAATCTCAAAAATAGCATCTTACCTGCTGCTTGCATGACACTCTGGTCCAAGCAGATTTTTATTTAAGCATTCAAATCTCAGATAGGCTTATGTCTAACTGTACACACAAGCTGTGGTAATTCAACTAATAAAATCCTCAGGCTACATACCAATGTAACATGATGTCTAATGACAAGAGGTCACTGCTTTATAAACCTGTAATCTCAATCCAATAACCTCTGGAAGTCAAGAGTTACTTCAGAGGGGACAGCAAGTTCAACAACTCTCTTAGTAGAGTAAATTCAAGACAAAAATTACAGCATCTCCCTGGAATAAAGGTTGTGAAAGTGCCAGTTTGTTCCAATTCGTTTTGAATGGAGCACGACAATTCATGCCACAAGTTTTCCTGTCACTTCGACTTATGAAGGCCTTAGAAAAGGACAGACACCTGCCTAATCACACTCAGAAATACCAGACCTATCCAAAAACTTCATGTGCTGAGTTTCTATTTCAGCATCTTGCAGTGCAGTCAGCACACAACATTAATGCCGGGGTTGCCTCTGGCAACTACACAGCTTGGACTACAGCAACAAGTGGGCAGGAAGAAATGCCATGAATTTTGCACAGACAGTTTCTACTGCTGAAACAGTGCCAAGTTTCCCATCTTGCCACAAGCTTGCCAGTTATAATGCAGTAAAACCAAAATATATGTATTACTGGATAGGTAAGACCTGTACAGAGATCTTTTTCATCAATGCTCATTTTCATTTCAGATTCAGGTCTCCTTCACTGTCCCAGCTTCAAAAGCCATTTTTCTACCACCTGAGATGGTCAAACACCAGGGAAGAAATGATGATGTGAACACACCTTCCTAGTTGGGAAGGAAGGGCTTAGATAAACCTCCACAGGCTTGGTACCCCTGGCAAAGGTAAGAGACCCATGTCAGTACCTCTAGCTATACAGAGCAAACAAAGCACTTCTGAGAAGGAAACAGGTTTGGTCAGCAAGAAGCTCCATTCAAAATTAGTAAGGTTGCCATAATGTACATAAAAAGCCTGCCTTAAAATACCACCTCTCCACAAAACTGGATAAGAATAAATTATAATTTTATTAAATTACACAAAATCGGTGATAATTAGAAGGCAGATCACTTGTAGAGTTGTACAAAAATGAGCATGCATTATTTAACAAAATCAACAGCATTTTATGAAAGAGCTTAAGTGTTAAGCATATCACCCTCTTCAATTTAAGACAATGAACTGTAGCTGCCACAAAAGTCATTATCTAAGCCGACTCTGCCAGAAAACATTCTAGTTCATGCATTGAATTAACATTTATTTAAGCTGTAAATTGACACAGCAGAGTGATACATTCAACCACATCTAAAAACAATGTAAGTACACATAAAAAACATACACAGACTGGCAAAAGGAATTCAATCTCCTTAAAATGTGTTAGAGTATTAACTTTAAAAACACTCTTAGAGCTTTAAGTGGAACTCCTTAAAATGCATTAAAGTATTAACTTTAAAAATATGGGGATTATATGCTTTAAGTGGAATGCTGTTTTTTAAAAGTTGCTGCATCACCTTTGAATTTCCAAAAGCACTTGAAACATACAGAACACTTCAATGCAGCTTAACTAAAACAAACTCAGAGAAGTTTCCTTTGGATGCACAATACAGTTAGGTTGGGCAGAAAAAGAAAATTCATTTACTGCATTTGACAGTTTGAGTCCTAATAAATGAGAAATGGGCCCAAGTCAGCAGAATTAAAACTAATAGTAATATTGTAAACCAAGCAAGACAGATTTTGGAGACCAAGTAAACTGACTTTTCAGATAGACCTGAGAGGAACAGAGTAAGATCTCCAGCAACTCAGTCTGCCAGAATCAAATATAACAATGGAGTAAAGAAAGAGTAAGTTAAATTAAGAAAGCTCCATGTAATCTATATTTGTATGATGTTATATGGAATTTTTAAATTAGGCCAAA